TTCAAGGACTGTTTGTTGGCCTTTAGGAGTGTTTTCCGGTTGAGTCTGATGGGGTGCCAAGTCCTGGCCCCAAAGTATATTTTTGGAATTCCCTGGGGACTTCATTAATTTTATAGCTTTGTGGTTTGAGGATTGTAGCATCTTCTTTTCTTTTTTTTAATTTGTTGAGCTATGATTTGTGGCCTAGTATGTGGTCTATTCTTGAAAATGTTCCACATGTGTTGGATAACAATGTATACTGTGTTTTTGTTGGATGGAACGTTCTGTATATGTCTGTGTATGTCTATGAGTTCGTTTTTGATTGTGTTATTGAGCTTTTTTGTTTCTAGATTTTTTTCTTGGAAGGTGTCTTTCCTTCAGAGTGGTGTATTAAAGTCTCCTGTAATTATTGTTAGTGTGTCAATATTTTTCAAATGTGTGATGAATTGATTGACATGTTTCGAGGGCCGTTCATTGGGTGCATGTATCTTTATGCTAGGAATGGCTTCCGAGCTATTGTTCCCTTTATCATTATGTAGTGTCTGTTTTGATCTCTCATCACATTGTTTGCTTTAAAGTCTGTCTTAGAGGTTAATTTTGCTCCCCGGCTTTCTTTTTGTTGCTCTTTGCCTGGTATGCTTTTATCCAGCCTTTGACTTTTAGTATGTCTTTGTTTGTGAGGTGTGTTTATTATAGGCAGCATACTGATAAGTTTTGTTTTCTTATCCATTTTGCTACTCGATTTGTTTCTTTACTGATGCATTTAGTCTTTTAACTTTCAGTGAAATTATGATAGGTTTGTATTTGTTACTGTCATTTTGCTTTTTATATGTGTGCTATATGTGTGCGTGTGTAGTACGTCTAGTTGTTCTTCCTGTGTTATTTCCCTGCTTGGGTGTTGCTATGTGCGTGTTGATTTTTGTGAGGAATTAGCTTGTATGTTGGTTTCAGGTGTGAGTGTTGTTGCTGTTTGTTTTTTGGCTGTAACGCTTCATTGAGTATTTGTGTTGTGGTGGTCTTGTTTTTGTGAATTATTTTAGTTTCTCCTTTTCTTTTAAAACTTTTATGTAATTGAATTTTTCCTCTGGCTGCTCTTAAAATTTTTTCCTTGTTATTGATGTTAGATATCTTGACTACCAATTGGCAGGGAGTTTTCTTCTTGTGATCTCTCCTGGCTGGAGGTCTTTCGGCTTCCTGAAGAATTATGTTTTCCTCTTTCAGACCTTGAGGAAAGCTCTATTGCAGGAGCTCTTGGACTATTCTCTGTGTGAATATTTTTGCTTCTTCCTCTTTTGGATCCCTCTAAATCACAGGTTGTTCCTCTTAATTGTGCCCCTCATTTGTTCTGAAGCTTTTCTCGGTCTCTTTTGCTTTCTTTGTTGTTTGTTTTCTTGCAGGTTGGAATCTATAGGTTTGTCTTTTGGCTCACTCATTAGGGTTTCCATCTCTGCAATTCTTTTTCTCTGTTTTTAGAATATCTTGCAATTCCTTAATAGTGTTGTTTAATTATGCTATTGTCGTGCTTGCTTTTTGTGTTTCTGTTTGGAGTTTCTCTAGTGAGTTACTAACTTTTCTATTGTTTCACTTTTTCTCTCAGACTTCCTTCAAGTGTTGCACACGTACGATCATCCTTTAAACTTTTTTTTCTTGTAAATCTGTAGGCGGTTCAATTTCAGACATTGCATTTAGGTCTGGTTGGTATTTATTTGTTTCTGTTTATCTTGTTCTTTGTGTGAGCACCAATATCTTCTGTTGTGGCTTTGACATTTTGGAGTCTTTATTAGGGGTGTTAGGTAGGTGATGTTATGTGGGAGTGGTTAACTCAGGTGTTGCACGAGAGAGGTGATGGACAGTTTTTATTTAGTGTCTGGGGTAGAGCGTTAATTAGGTGTTTGGGGAGCTATCAGAAAGTGGGGGAGGAAGTGTTAGAGGAAGTAGAGAAAAAGTAATAGTAAGTAAAAAAAATGGATTGGTTAGGGTAGTGTAATTTGGTAGGTTAAAGGAAGGGATATTAGGCCTCCAAAATGCCTTATCTGCATTGGTGGAGGAATGGGTACTAATATTGATAGAATGGAAGGTTTTTTAAAATGTAGGAATAGGGTCAGCTTTGGATTTTATGAGGATGAGAAGGAAAGAAATGGTTTGACAATGAAAGTGAAACTAATATGTAGTTTGATAGTGCTATGAAGTAAAACTTTACACATTTAGAAATATGTAAAGAAAGGAATGTGTAAAATAAATATGTAAAGAAAGGAAAATTAAAGGAAAAGGGCAAGAGGTGAATGTTTTAAGAAGAATAATAGGAAAAATAATGGTAGAGTAAGATGCAGGAGAGCTGTTAATGTATGTTTGAGCTCTAAACTTTGCCTAGGAGCTTTGTCTCTGTTGTGGGTGCTAACTTCTGGGTTGATGGTGTGTTAAGGGACTAGAAAAGAAACAAATTAAATTGAAAGTTAAAAAGTAGATAAATATATACATTTTTTCATTCTCCC